TATAGACAAGTGTTGTCTATTTATTTTATGTAAAATTTTTCGTATCTTCTGATAAGTTTGGAAACATTATCATTAACCGAAAAAAAAATTCACAATATTTATCCATTATTTTTTAATATAATCTAAGCTTTCGGCTTACTCAAGCCATTATCAAAGATGTAATTACAAACATATCAAACAATATACGGACACGTCAGTGATGATAGTCTGTCATTGTTTAGTTTACATAGTGGATCACTAAGCAACGATGAACACGCGCATATAAGACGCTAGAAGCGAAAATCGCACCGCATCTCATGACGTCACACATGACTACACGAGAGTGAATTGGAGAATGAAATAAGGAAAGCCGTTGGTATAAACCAATGGCTTCTGTTACCAATTATAGAAATTATAGACATTTAAGAATATTTGTAGAGATTCCATAGTTGATTTTGTTTAGGTTGGGTTTTAACTGTTTGATGTATAATGCTTCAAGTATTTTTAGTTTTTTGTCTATTGTTTTTTCATGTCGAAGTATAGTTGTGTTTTCGACAAGTATTTTACGGAATTGTGTGTGTGGGCAGGCATGTTGTTTTAAATGCCTAAAAATGTTAGAGTTTTCATTAAAATGTAGTGTCAAGCGTCGTGAAAGCGAGTTTGTGGTGTGACCAACATAAATATTATTTAATTCGTTGGAGACTCTCTCCCAAAGGGCACTTGAATTTATAAACTATGTTGGTTTTTTTTCAAATCGCTAACCGGGGAGAAGAATCATTGCAAGTATTAAGTTGGATATACTAGATTTAGTGTAGTATATGATTAATTTAATTTTTTTGCTAGGATCTGTAGTTGATATATTAGAATTTACTAAATTTTTTTAGTATGTGTTCATCTTGTTTATAATTAGTATGCATTTGATTACGATATAGGAGATTAATATATTTGAGATCAGTAGAAGCAGTATTATGTACAATTTGCTTATTATTGAGATTTCTAAGAAAGCATCTTAATTTGTTCATCAACTATATAGTTTGGAAAGCTATTATTAATAAGTGTCTGTTTTATATTCTTTAGTTCACTGTAAAAATCTGTTTGGTGGATGAATTAGTTTCTGCACGATGTATTAGATTCTTTATAATTGCTATTTTGTAGTAATATGGGCATTCGCTCTTGTAGTTAAGTGTACATGAATTTATGCTTGTAGGTTTTTTGTATGGCGAAATAGTAAATTTGTTATTATTTGTGTTTATCAATATGTCAAGGAAGGGATTTTATTATTAGTATTGAGTTCATATGTGAATTTAAGGACAGAATTATTTTGGAACCGTTTTTGAAGTTGTATTATTTCATCTGTATTTTTAACTAACATAAGAATATCATCAACGTATCTTAGGTAGATTGATGGTTTTTTAAAATCTGTAAATAACTTATTTTCGAGGTTCGACATGTAGAAATTGCTAAATGTCGGGCCCAATACTGAACCCATGGAGACACCATCACGTTGTATATATATATTGTTATTATGATCGAAGAAAGGGACTTCAGTAGTACAAGTTAATAGTAGTTTGAGCCTTTTATATTATATTCTTACTCTGTCCTGGACATTGAGTTCTACATGGATTCTATCCTTTTGTAATTTATATATATATATATATATATATATATATATATATATATATACATATATATATATATATATATATATATATATATATAATATTATCCAATATATATATATATATATATATATATATATATATATATATATATTCAAACTAGGACACAAACGTGACACCGAAATTCCAAGATGCACTTTTCTTAAAAATAACGAAAATACTTTCAAAAAGCTAAGCAAATTATTAAGAAACAGGAAAAATTCATTGGAAACAAAGAAAAGAGTGCTAAACCTTGAAGTAATATCGCCCTTCTGTATGGCAATTAATACTAGGTAATCTCCTCTGAGATTAGAAACTAAAGAAAAGAAACTTGAGGTAACAGAGATGTGGTTCTACAGAAGGATGCTGAGAATACGACAAACTGAATATGTGAGTAACGAAGAAGATTTAGAGAAAATGGAAACAAATAACACTCATACTTTCAATAAAAAAAAAAACTTATTAGCTTTCAAATTATTATACATATAGTTCGCAATAAGTAACTCTCTATCTATCGGCTTAGCGTATATATATATATATATATATATAAATATATGTGTGTGTGTGTGTGTGTGTGTGTGTGTGTGTGTGTGTGTGTGTGTGTGTGTGTGTGTGTGTGTGAAAATATATAGAAAATAGGAAAGAACTCGTTAGGTAAATAATCCAAAGTTCTTTAGTATTGTTATTATTTTTAAAAAATAGCGCTCGATAAAAAAGTAGAGCATAAATATAATTATTTATTTAAAAATATGATTCCAACACGCTACATAAGAGTTCTCAGGTTTCAAAACAAGAGCCGAAAAGTTCAATATAATTATTTGAATTAAATTGAATTAAAGTACTAATAATTATATTGAAGTTTTCGGCTCTTGTTTTGAAACATGAGAACTCTTATGTAGCGTGTTGGAATCATATTTTTAAATAAATAAATAATTATATGTATGTATATATATATATATAGATATAAATGTAAAGAGAACGAGACGAATATAAATTCAAACGTTCATAACATTAATTTTAAAGAGAGCTCAATACAAAAGTAGAACAATAATTATTTATTCTAAGTTATTACATTCGAACATTTCAGTAATCACTACAAAAATGCAATTTTGTTTCGATGCCCAATTCAGGCATCTCATCAGGTGGTGATCCAAGGTAGCTTTAGATTGACCAAATAATCTAACATCAGAATTTGATGGGGAAGGAATTATTGGTCGAGTCAAGAACGTTTGGATACACTAATATATATATATATATATATATATATATATATATATATTAGTGTATGCAAACGTTCTTGACTCGACAAGATTCTAAATAATAGAAATCTATTAAACAATAGACATGAGTTAACGGTTTTTTGCCGACATCATCAAATTTTTGCATTGAATAATTAGCATAAAAACAAACAAACAATAAAATAATTTTTAAAATCCATAGTCATAATAACTAGTTTAAATGCCCTACCAAAAATGATAATCCTTTATGAAGGCGTCAAAAAATAAATGTTAGCGATTTACGACAGTTTTTATATGCACAAAACCCTTTCAGAATAAATAAAAAATAAAATAAAAAATTAAATAAATGTCCATAGACGCTTAACCAGACTATGCGATGTCTTCTTTTGCTTTAAATTTCGACACCCCAACCTTACCCTGACTTGACATCTGTGAATTTAACCGAGATATTGATACAAATTATTAACACTTTTCGCCTCTTTTTCTGTGGACGGTTGCTCTAGCCGTTACCATAGAAATTTTGATTTTAATAATGAATATGCTTATAAAACACGTAAATTTCAGAAATAAGTTATTCAAAAAAAAAATTTCGCTTGAAGATGGAACAGAGCTTAGTAATTTAATTCAATTTAATTCTAATAATTATATTGAAGTTTTCAGCTCTTGTTTTGAAACATGAGAACTCTTATGTAGCGTGTTGGAATCATATTTTTAAAATAAATAATTATATATATATATATATATATATATATATATATATATATATAGGGTGCGATAGGCAAATTGTCGCCATTTATTATTTTGAGTTTCGCGCATGCGTGTTGTTTGTTTTTTTTTTCTTATTTTAACGACTGCACAGTATAGTCAGCGTCTATGAGAAAAAGAGACACCATGACGCAATTCTCTTCGTTTTGAATTTGTAGGTCTGATGAATTAGATTGTGTTTACAATTCCAATGTAATAAATTGTAACCAAGGAATATTAGTGTTTGAATCTTTTATATTATATTCTTACTCTGTCCTGGACATCGAGTTCTACCTGGATTCTATCCTCTTGGGCATTTACATATATATATATATATATATATATATATATATATATATATATATATATATATACTGACCAATAATATTATCAATATATATATATATATATATATATATATATATATAGAGAGAGAGAGAGAGAAAGAGAGAGAAAGAGTGTGAGCTCGACATCTGCGAGGAGAACTACTCCAAATTTCATGTGATTTTAACAGTTTCCTGGAAGAAGAGGTTTTGTGCTTTCAACTGAACATTTTCCCCTCTTAATCTATCAATGTCGATACAGAATTCAAGTGATGTTGTTTGCATTTGTTAAATATTCATGTAAATTAAACACTGAGGATTGAGGGATAAAAATTAGATGCAATTCCCCAGTTCAACGCCCACTGCTCGTAAGCAAAAATAAAATACACGTAAAATGCACTTAATGAAAAAAAGATTTTTTTTTTTTTGTCGAGGTGCATCTTGCAACATTGTTAATAAGTGCAAATGGGTTTCATTTGGAGAAAAATATCTCTTCAATATTGAGTCACGAAAGTCAGAAATAGACAAAAATGTGAACACAGAACAAAAGCAGATTAATATTCAACAATTTATATATAAAAAAGAAATTGATTGAATGGAGGGTGTTTACTAGTTTACCGCTAAAGAAAAGCTCTTTGGGGTTTAGTGGGATAGATTATTGGATAGGTGAACAGAGTTCATTCCTCAGGAAGGACAGTTTGTGTTCATTTACCACTTCTCGCTAAAGCTGTAAACCTTCTTCTCCTGCTGCTGTAAGTAAAAACTTGCATAGTTATAGACTCTTATTCTATTGGCCATTTGTTGCGTAATTGACGTCGCATCAACGTAGACATCAGTTTAGTGACTGTCAGATGAAGTCGTAAAGGATGAAACGTGGCACGAGTAAACTTTTCCCACTTTGTCATAGACTTTTTCCCCCTATAATTTTATCCCTTTTGGTCTTATCCAGGCACAGTCTACTGGCTGTTTTTGATAGCTGCGTAATGGTAAACCCTATTGCCTTATGAAGGCGATTTCTCTTGGCTGCTTCATAGTTGCGTATTTGTAACACTTTTGCCTTATAAATTATCTGCATAGATAGATATGAACAGAATGAGATAAATAGATAGATAGATAGATAGATAGATAGATAGATAGATAGGAAGAGACAGAGATAGATAGATAGATAGATAGATAGATAGATATGAACAGAGTATAGATAGATAGATATGAACAGAGTATAGACTTATCTATCTATCTATCTATCTATGTAGATAGATAGATAGATAGATAGATAGATAGATAGATAGATAGATAGATATGAACAGAGTGATATAGATAGATAGATAAATATGAACAAAAATAGAAAGACATAAAAATAGATAGATAGATAGATAGATAGATATGAACAAAAATAGAAAGATATAAAAGACTAAGATAGATAGATAGGTAGATAGATAGATAGATAGATAGATAGATAGATAGATAGAAGCATTTGATTAACTTTGAAAGTTAATATTGGAATAAGTTTAAGTAAAATATCACAGGTGAGTTACTTGTTATTATAAAATTGATTATAAAAATAAACCATTTATTTCTGATTACTATTTGACTTTTAAATCCAAAAATCCTGGTTGTTAAATGGCAGTCTTTAAATTAGTAAAATGTTTCATAAAAGATTTAATTTAATTGTAAAACCCAAGCGCCATATTGAACCAGCCTGGATTACTGAATCATATTCTGGCTTAGAATGAGCATTGTACCTCAAAGTCAGTCATTGTGTATAGGAAGAGAGTTAGTTAAAGAGACATTAGAATTTATATCAGTGATTAATTGCTCGATAAATTTCGTATTTTGTATAACTTGCTCTGCTTCAGTTTTCTTTTTGTCTGTCTTTTTATTTCCCACTGAATATAGTAGAAATGCTAACAGTTAATATTGATAGAACTAAATCTGCATTACATTGAGAGGATTTTTTTTATTCTTGTATTGTGTCTGACATATAAATATGATTGTAGAAATGTTGTTATATGGCATAACAAATTCTTAAGGTAAGAATTGTTATTTTGGCTCCTACGGGAAGCAACTTCTTCGCCTGTCGTTTTTGTAATTTGAAAATTGAAACATTGTCAAATAGACATCTGACGATCATATCCACTTTTAAAAACCGTCTAAAATGATGAATATATTGTCTAATGTTTTATAAATAATAATTTATCAAACACACCATTTTATAAATAAATAATAATTTTGTTTATTTATCGTGTTTATTTTCCAAGAGTTGTTCGGTCAATTCTGTTGGTCACAAAAAATTTCTGTAGTTTCAATCTACACATTTCGTATAATATGAGGATTTCATTTTCGTTTCTAAAAAAATATCAAAAACTCTTCTATGCGTGTACGGAGGCGCAGGTTCGCGTGTGGATGAGTAAATTGTGATGAGAATTATGCAAAACAATTTAAAAAATATATCAATTTTAACGCTAATCAACCAACGACATAAGAAAAATAATTGTATTCCACATGAAAAATATTTCAAATGAGAAATTTTTTTTACATATATATATATATATATATATATATATATATATATATATATATATATATATATATATAATATCCAAATATGATTAGTTCACGGAATAAATATAAAACGCTGATTCATGAGCTGAAATGACCTATCAAAATTTCAGCTCATGTGAGAGCGTTTCCCGACGAGGGGTGGTTAATTAATTTGAACTTTTTAAAAACTTTTTATTCTACATTCAACATCATCACTTGATAAGACACCAGTGGACATTGAATTCAAAACACAGAGGTGACAGTCTGGTTCATGCTACACGCAATTGTCAGGTCTAACTGTCTCTTCTGAGTGTTGACTTCAATGTCAACATTTAACGCTCTATCCCTAGCTAGCTGTGTAGATAGATAGATAGATAGATAGATAGATAGATAGATAGATAGATAGATAGATAGATAGATAGATAGATCCACATTAAATAGATTATTCCGTCGGATTACTTGCTTATCACATTTGGTTATCCTATATTCATCATACTGATGCCTATCTGATCGATTTTATCGAGGGAAATAGCGTTTGTTTATCAAACAGGTAATTGATTAATAAAGTTGTTTCTATTTTATCAATTGTTATTGATTATTTCTTCATATTTCTTGTCTTGTTTATTTTGTTTAATGGAAGAAAATCATAAAAAGCAAATTGATTCTTTTTTGTTCTGTTTGTGTTCAACTGTTATTTAAGTGTTGCAATATTTCCTTTTTTTCCCCCCAGATGACTGCCTACGAGGACCCCACTGATTACAAATATGTGTACACTCTCTACTACAATACATCATCTGGGGAGCTCATTCCTGTTGAGATGGAAGACGGTAAAACTCGCTACGGTATGGTTATCTACCAGGGTCTACTGGCATTCTGGGGTTTCATGTCCAATATGGTCCTGCTTATAGCTCTTGTTTCCTCAAAGGATGCCCGCAAACTCGTGGTGACGCTGTACATCACCAGCCTGACCGCTGTCCAATTATTAATGTGCGTCCTCAATCTACCATTTGCCGTCTACGACGACCTCCACAAATGGGGCCTCGGACAAAGGTTTGTATATTTATGTAATTATAGTTTTCAGAAAAATGGAAGACAAGTAGAAAGAAAATAAATGAACCAAACATGACAAAATAGACAAAAAAATTAAATCAGAAAAGAAAGAGAAAATAAGAAATTGCGGACAGACAGGAAAAATGGTGAAATGCTAATTGGTCTTTTTGTACCTGATGTGCGTGCAGTCTAAAAAGATAATTTATAAACTCGAAAAAGCATTCATAATATGGAATGTAAATAGGATGGAGGTGAAATACTAAAATTAAAACAGATCAATACAAAACAATTTTCGAATAATCTTACTGATTTTTTCATTAATACTCAAACCCTGTGTATATATATATATATATATATATATATATATATATATATATATATATATATATATATATATATATATATATATATACACACACACACACACACATATATATATATATATATATATATAGGTAACTACACTCGTCTCGAAAAACCTTCGGTTTCTTGATTTGCTAATGGTGAAATCAATCTCGAAGGAGAAAAGGTTTTAAAAAAAGAAAGAGCTATGAACATGAACGTGTGTCGAAAATAATTGCACAGCATACAGGTCCAAAGCCCAAAGAAAAAAACCCCGATACGAGTAATCAACTAAAAAGTGCTCAATAGAGCAGACCTAGTCAAACATAGAGAGCCAGACAAACCTACCAAGGTTTCACTAAGCGGATTATCAGAAATCTGGCTTGCCAGCTTTTACTGACGATCCCCTATATATATATATATATATATATATATATATATATATATATATATATATATATAAATTTTGAAAAAACAAACAAAAAAATCCTTAAATGTAGTTAAAATGAAAGAAAAAAAAAAAAAAAAAAACATTTAAGGATTTTTGTTTGTTTTTTCAAAATTTCTTCATTCTGTCGGATTTATATCCATTTACACTTGCTTATATATATATATATATATATATAAGGGATTTCTATATACCGATAACATTTATATACAGTTAAAATGTGTAAGCAAATTAAATGGAAGATCTGAAACATTAAAATTCTATTCAGTAAAACTCAGAGAATTGAAATATGCAAAAAAAAAAAAAAAATCGGTGCAAACTGTGTTTATGAATAAGTGAGACTATGCATGCAAATAACAGTAGTCCAAGCCTATAACATGTCACATTGATCAACTTTTCCTGACGATGTCGGATGAATGTAATGTTTTGCCTCATTATCATATACCCAACAACAATTTCCAAAAGATTTCGATGATTTAGAATTATTAGGATGGTGCATAATTATCAGACGTTTTTTGTTTTTTTTAACAATAGTTATTATGAAAAAAGAAACATAATAATTCAATAAAAATATTTTTAAATGATTATTCCCGAGCGTAAGATTATCGACACGCATTTTTATAACCTGAAAAGAAACAAATATTTTTATTAAAAAAGTAAACAAAATAGTGATTTTTATTAAGAAATAACCAGGCTACTAAAACGCCTGATAATTATGCACCAACCCAATACGTTAAGACTATTCTTTTATTTCTTTTAAATTTGCTAAAGCATTATTTATTTTCCATTATTTTATTGTTTTACAGATTCTGCGAAGCTTGGGTGTTAATGGATGTGACTATGAGTTGTATCTCTGCCCTGATCATTGTTATGATGAACATTGATAGGCTCTTGTTTGTGCTTGACGTAAAACGATACGTAAAGAATATGAAAGTGATTGCCATCATTCTTATGATTATCTTCCCTTGGATCCTTGGGATTATCCTGGTCATTGTTGTTTGGGTTAAAGGGAAGCACGTTTTCCCCAACGTACCGGGCATGTGTGTCTACGCTCTGCATAAAGAATATGCCCAAGTGTCTCCTTTTGTCATGTATTTCATCCCGGCTCTGACTATCCTGGCCCTCACCTTGGCCATCCTCATCACTGTTATCCTACACCCGCTCCACCGGCGGCACCCGGATGGTACCCACATGTTTGACGAACAGGGCCACCCGCAACTGCCTTATCCGTACCGTGAGAGGAATTCGTTGTTCTCCGTGTGTCTAGTAAATTTCTTCTTCCTCGCCATGAGCTTTCCTTACAACTGTGAGAGTGCTCTGATGGCGTTCTGCAAGACCAACAACTGCATGCCACCCACAGATCGTCCTCATATATTCTACCTATTGTCTATTTCTTTTCTAGGTCTTAACCCACTCCTCTGGCTCACCTATCAGGAAGTTCGATCTGCCATCTTCCGAGTGTTTGAGAGCTTATGTAAACGATAACGTCACTGACGTTGATTGATTTCAGAACATTTTTCTCTTTCTAATGTTACGCTCATCTGTTGGATTAAGATATGTATAATCAAATTATCGATGACATATGGTTGTATTTCTGATTGGAGTGCCATCAGAGGTGGAGAGGATGAAGAAGAAGAAGAAGAAAAAGAAGAAAAAATAACGATTACTTCTTCCATCGATTTTTTAAATTTACATTCAACGCAAAAAAAAATATTGGACATCGATAGAAACCCCAACCTTCCCTACCCAATTATTGATTATAAAACATGTGAATAAAATGGTGTACATGTTCTTATTGATGGACAGACCCCCAAAACCCTAGTGGAAAATTTCTGTTTGTTATAGAATCATTTAAAATACAAAATTGAAAAAAAAAGAAGCTAATAAAAAAAAATACCGTATACGACGACATAGAAAATGCTTTTACTTCAACAGAATGACATAATAAAAAAATCATATTTACAAAAAGAATCCATTTCCACCTACATTCAGATTTTATTACCATAGACTAATAATATTTCTAGAATAACCCCTACTAAATTTAAAAACATTGTTTTTTTTTTTTCGCTTTTACTTGACGTCAGATAACATGGCAGATAACTGTTGCCTAAATCACAATAAATCACAATGGAACTTTACGAAAATAGAAAACTTTTGAGTGAATCATTCTCATAAACGAAATAAAATGTAGAAAAAATGTATGCTGAAAAGTTCTCAGTTCAACCAAGAAAGGATTTTGAAAATCTGATGTTTTGACTTTGTTGTCAGATTTTAAGAAATTGGTTGGGCTGAGAACCTTTCAGCACCAACTCATACAATGCTAATTCAATATGTCCCATATAATGTTATATAATGTTCCATAAAATGTTATGTAATGTCCCATATAATGTTATATAATGTCCCATAAAATGTTATGTAATGTTCCATATAATGTTAAAGTCGCTCTTAGAATTGAAAAATAAATAAACCGAAAAAAAAAATCCAAAAATATCTAAATTAATTTTTAAATAATGAATCCAAATATAATGAAACAAAATGAAGTGAAATTTAATGCGAAATTAACTTTGATCATATTCCCTCAGTTTATAAAAGTTTTCTTCGTATATACATACATATATATGTGTGTGTGTGTGTATGTGTGTGTGTGTGTGTGTGTAATTTATGCATAATTAACTGTTAAATTGTTTGCAGATGGTTTATTAATTTTTAAATTCAAATGTTACTTAAATGTTGTAAATAAAAGGACTGGTAAATATTGGCGTAATGAAACGCTTTGCTAAAATATGCCAAGAGAAAATGAGGAAAGAATAAACGTTAGAGGCTCTTTTGCACATCTACAAAATATGACAAGTAATCTCCCTTGTAAATTGTAAAACGACGCAAAATTTAGGAAGTTGGCGTTCTCTTCATTTTCCATTTAAATTATAATGAAATATTCATTTAACAAGTCAGATATCTTTAACTAAAAAATAAGCTTTTATTTAACCGTGGGATCGGCTTGTTAATTTCCATATTTTTTTTTTTTTAGTTGCTGTCTGAGAAGAACAAGAAATAAATTAGTAAGGAACGTCTCATTTTGCTTTTGTTTGAACTTAGCGTTGACTGAATTATTTCGTTCAAGATATATAGCATTAATCTGTTTTATCATTTTTGAATTCTTTGATTTTACGCTTCGGCTTCTCTTCAGTAAGAGAATGAAGAATTCTTTTACGGGAATCGTGTTTTGTAATCAAGATTTACTAATAATTTTTTTCATTACTTTTTTTGAAGGAATCATAGTTGAGATATGTATTTTTCTTAAACCTCCCGTTGGTCTAACGCCTCATAATGGAGTGAAAGGAATAATATAATTGGATGCATTTCTTTGAGTATCAGAAAATGAACTTTTAATTAAATAAAATATTAATTTACAGACAATTTCATTGATCACGTGAAAGTGAACATGTGTAGTATGAATAGATTTACAAAGAAATTTGTTTAGTAATAAAAACGCAAATACATATAAATTTACTCAGACATAACAATTGTAAGGTTAAGTGGTGGCAAATAAGTATTTACGTGTGAACATCTACATATGCTATTATACAATGGCTCATTTGAACTAGCGTCCACGTTTTCTTTGATTCTATCACAATTTTTCAGTCACCGTCTTGTCACTCCTTTGTC